CCATAATTAACTGCAACTCGGAGTCCGATATGCGGGGATGTTGTGCCGGTGTGTCATATACAACAAACATCCAAGCCTGCAATAATTATTATACAGTATATGAATACATATTTGTTGAATACATAGTTTATAATTTCTACTGAATTATGAACTGATTGATGAATTATTAGAATATTAATTCTGTACATTATTAATATTAACCATAATTAATAACCATAACCATTATTGATACAATATTATATAAAAATACAACTAGAATAAAAACTAGAAATATGAAAGTATAATAAACAATCAAATTCTAAGTAATGAGTAAAATTATAAAATGTGATCATTTGATAGATAGTGAACACACCACGAAACACAATACCCCGCAAATGCCAATCACGTAGAATACTGAGGGCCAGCCGCCAGCAAAACTACTTTTACACAAATAGCCCGATAGAGGCATTGCTATGACGGCGCCGAAGTTACCGCCGACTTGTATGAGAGCCAACACAACGCCCCTCTCGTGACGGGGTATCCATTGGGCTAGAAGTGCGTAAATAGCAGGCGTTAATATACCCTGATAAAGTAAGAATTTAACACAACTATGAAATTTTGTTTAATTTATTGAATTAATATATTAAATATACTGCACGTTAGATACCTGTGCTAGACCTGTAATAACCCTGAGTATAATCAGTGCGATAGGACTCCAAAACGAGACAATGGGTGTAAGACATGTCAGGATAGCCGACGAAAGTGTGACAAATCCACACAAATATCTCACTCCAAACCTATCAGCCATTTGTCCACCTTTTCATAGTAATCATAATTAAAACCATAATACATTGGATTCATGATTATTAAATGAAATATTTATTTACCATTAATATTAGTAGCGATATATCCGTAATAAAAACTGCCCAAGATGTGACCCTGCATCGATTCAGACCACGTAAATTCTCCCATCTATTTGTTCAAATCGTTTGTTAATATTATAACTTTTGGTATAATAATTATAAAAACGGACCGAATCTTCACTTTTTTGTTCTTCACTATTATAGGGACAGGTGTCCGACGGGTCCACAGAATATGTATAGTTATTGTCATTAATCTCTCGCAGTTCTGTCCCATTAATCATAGCCACTATAGTGACACTCATATTAGTTCTAATAGTATAGGACAGGGTGTTTGAGATGGCGGCCACTAATACGACCACAAATCGGGTGGGAATACCAGCTTCGGATCAAAATAATAGATATATAATTATTCATTATATTAAGTTATATGCCAATTTTAATTTATCTATTATGTATACAGTATTGATGGCACTTGCATGTAAAATGATATAATTAAATATTTTATAATGTCAAATATGTTTACAAATAAATACCAATTAAAGTGTTTAATGATTACATACCACAACCTTTAGTCTTAATGTCATTGTAAGCACTTTTCATGGATGAGGACATGGACAGTTGACTTTTTGTACTTCTAGTGCTTTTGACACTTTTAAACGATTGAGACCTCGATTTTGTCATTTTATGTAAACCTTTGTTTTGTTACCAAGTTTCAATTTATGTAATAATTCTATTATTTTATTCTACTCTTTGTAATTAAAAACTTTCAAAACCAAAACTAAAATTAAGATCACTTCACCATTCATTAAAATGAGTTGTTTTTAATAAAAGTCAGTTAAACTAAAAGCTGAAAAACAATTTCTCGGTCACTTAAATAGAAATGTTCAAAACTAAAATTATAGTTGCCATAAATGTGTGTAATTTTATGATATATTATTTATAAAAACTTCTATACTTTTCTCATTGGTAACATTTAGTCCAAAAACAAATGATCTCTGTTTCAAAGCCATAGAAATTATGTCTCAAATAACTCAGAAGTTAATTAATTTATGACTTTTTATTTCTTTGATTACTCTTTCATAACATCTCAAGACTGCAATCATTATTATACAGTATATGAATACATATTTTTTTGAATACATAGTTTATTATAACATTTAATTTATAATTTCTACTGAATTATGAACTGATTGATGAATTATTTGAATATTAATTCTGTACAATATTAATATTAACCATAATTAATAACCATAACCATTATTGATACAATATTATATAAAAATACAACTAGAATAAAACTAGAAATGTGAAAGTATAATAAACAATCAAATTCTAAGTAATCAGTAAAATTATAAAATGTGATCATTTGATAGATAGCTAACACACGATATAATCGTCATCAAATTAATTGAGTCATATATTGTAAATTTTTCTATATTTATGATTTAATAAGATATCAATATTATAATTTATACTTTACAAAGAATGCTTCATAATATTTATAAATTATATAATTAATTGTTACTAATTTGACTATAGCTAAATCATATTATAATGGATTTTTGAAATAATAATGATATACATTGAATGCTATTATAAAAGTTGTTTTGAACAATATTTTAGGAATATTTCACAAAATTATCAGTTATTTTATTAATATTAATATAAAATAAGAAGTCATAAAAAATAATGACTTTACTCAACGGCTAAAAAATACTCCTACTTATATATATATATATATATATTGTATATATATATACATGTATATAATCGAAATATACCTCTAACTTTAGTTACAATTGATAATCTTTATAACATTAAAGAGTTTAATTCAGAACTCCATTAACTGCAATATAAAATATAACTTAATCAAAAAATATCTTAATGGTGACTAAAATCAAACTAATTATGATATTTATCTCAACTATAAAATATAGCTTAATATTTCTTATAAATTCAATTATGTCTAAGAATAAAA